TGAACAGATAGTATCGAATGCCTCTTTTGGCTCTTTACTCGGGCTTTCAGGTGTCGGTTTTGGGTATAAGACGTAACTTGATCGGGTGGCATCTAGCTCCGGATTGGGGCAAAGCGTTGACTTTGGTGATTCTTTTGATTTCTTGCCTTGTTTGTTGGGTCGATGACCCAGACGATGAGAGGGAAATTGGAGAATATTTTCTCGAGGTCTAGCGGGTATTTTAATATGGAGACATTACCGGTACACATTCGCGAATGGGGAAGAGAAGAAGCAGGGACGTGATGGAATGAAATATGTACATATGAGTCAATAGGAATGTGTTTGTTAAGTTTCATGGGTTTTAAGACCCTAAGAATTGTCTGGGATGTGAGCATGTGATTTTTTATGTGTGATGATTTTTGAATGATCATGGGGAGATTACAATGATTTGTGAGTGCGAATTTCTATATCTGTTTTCTGAGTACGTCTTACTGTCGGCCCTTTATACCCTTCATCGTTCGGAACATGTATGATGGCTGCATACCTACCTACTATTTGAGACTAAATGTTTACCTCTCACTGCTTTGGGCCTTCGTTGTGGATATCAATCATAGTATGTTTTTTTCTCATAGAATAGGAAGGATGAGTTTGTTAATAATGAGAAAGTGGATTAGGATGTTTTGGGGGACATGATCAGAGGATGAGGAGAGGCATGAGGGGAGAATGGGATGGGATAGATTGATACTTGGTGAGAAGAGAGAGGATGAGATCGCAATGGGTTAGATGATGTAGAATATCTACTCTGTAATATTTAGATATGGGAGAGGGATTTGGATAGAGTGGATATGGGTTGATGGGAGGGTCAATGGTGGGATCATAAGATGATTGATTGATGGGTTTGGGTTTGGGTTTTTGGGGTGGGAGTTGGTGGGATGGGATGGGATGGGATGGGATGGTGGAAGAGATGATCTTTTGAGTGGAAACTTTTTGATTGGATTGGATTGGATTGTATGATGTTGAAATTGGGATGGGAAGTAGAGTGGAGGGGGATGGGATAGTATAAGAAATGTATAGGAAATGTATAAGCGCTACGCACTTTGACTTTAACTTCAAGATGTGAAGTCGAATTGGAGGTTTGTGAAAAAAGCTAGAAAGGAGAATTTAAGGATTGATACTCCTTAAGATGCTGCAAGATGTGTATGTTCATATATAGCAGGAGAGAAACTATAGGGGTTTGAGTTGCCTTGTCTTGGGATGAGATGTATGGGATGAATGAATCCTGTGTAGTGAGATTTATAGATTGAGGGAGTACATGGCAATTGGTAAGAGGTGTAGAGGATAAGCAATATCGAGGTGTTTGTAGATAGGAGTTTGAATATCTGTTCCTCTTGCTATGCGGAAAGAGCGGGAATGGTTGTTGATAGCGTGAGTGTATACAATCTCTGAACGGCGAGTTTGCTAGGTACCTACATATGGAAAGGACCTCGATGATATGATGGTATGACATATATCACATCGCGCATGGGACGAACACCAGTTGCATGCTCTATCCCATAGATCTCTTGATGTGCTGTTTTGATGTGTGCGTATAGATCACGTTTGCTTAAGATTCAGCTTTTACCTTGTTTTACCCTTCACAGAACGTTCATCGAAGCATTTGAGTCGGAATATCCTATCCACTTTCGAGGAGCTACACATTCATTCTACATATCTCTACAACCCGCAACCATGTCATTGGTAGAAAGGTAAGAATATTGCATTCTCATTACAGATATGTATCAGCATCGTCACTAAGCACAACAAACCAACCCAATCCATATATACCATTTCATCAACATCTTTGTTCCTGAATCAAAAAAGTCCGTCCCCCTTTACCCTGCTTCTCCGCCCTACGCTTATCCTTTTCCTCCTATGTTTCCCTACCTCTTCCGACCCGACCCGATATCTTACCTCATCTCACCTCATTCCGCCTCATATCATTCCATCTCGTACGCTCCGAGATCAGAGTACCGACCCTGCATATACATGCGTCAATGCCGTTTCTTATGCGAGACGGCAGACTTTCCGTACCAGTGGGAGAAGAACTGTATATTAGACTTTGCATCTAGTGTTGTGGTATACTCTTTGGATTATGATTCTGTGTTATATTTGATTTCTTTAATGGCTGTATATACATGTTTGTGATACCATCAGATACAAAGAACAGATTTCCTGTGCATTAAAAGCTACGCATAGGCCGGTAGATATAGTGCATGCGTGCTGGGTTGGCTTTTGATTGCATAGATACATTTACATATCTGCAGTATGTACAGAAAGATGTGAAATGAATATGTACAACTTTCGATAAATAACATGTGACAGGATTTTTACATTGTGGGACGGATGATTGCCCTTGAAGATGAATGGGATTTAGCTGCTTTATATACCCTGCATATCTATTCTCTATCGGTTGTTCAGTCACTTGTCAAATGGCCTCGATGCAACAATACTTTGAATGAGATCGGATGAACGGAAATCCTTGGCATGGCAATCATATCGTGTTTTGTTTCATGTCGGTGAGTGCATTGATGTCGTGGTTGCTGCATGACGAGCCGCCATTGACTTTGCTGATTGCAGCGCTTCGAAACGGGCGCCATCGAAATGGACAGCATAGTTTTATATTAGAGCCAACTGCATCACCGCTTTTTAGCCAAATATCCTTGATCAATAAACTGTTCAAATAGCCTGACAACCAATCAGCCAATGATGGTTTCTGAGTAATCACCCGACTTGATGCTCAATCTCGTAGTCATTTCAAATGCTCATCTGATTAAAACTACCAACACTGCTCCAAAGCTAGCTCCTGGAACCCGATTATCGCTATCTACACACAAGACTTTGAAATATGTAACGAGACAATCTCTTCTCTTACGTGATTTTGATTTCGCAAGGCTAGTATCGTTTTCCGTGCTCTTGTATATTTCCACTCTATCTTCATGGTACACCCATATTTGGGGGCCAAAAATTGATTAGATGCCGCGAAGTATCTCGCGTTCCACCAAGAAACAGCTCTTCATGGGTGTAACTCCACCGCATAATTATCAGGCGCAGAAAATTTCTGCAGGGTCAGACACAAACCCCGGAAGCCGGATCACACATGCATGGCCGAGAGTTACCGTGGTGTTGGGGACGACCGGTCCGGTCGTTAATTATCCGCGTGGCCGCGCGGAAGGGAGGAAATTCGATACGACGACATGCAAAAGAAAGGGTCGACTCAGACCCAACGATCAAAACATCTGAGGACAACGCAAGTTCTAAGTTCAGTAATAGCTGAGACAGAAAGAATCTGAAGACATCTATTGGATACTCGGATCCGGTCAGACGTATCACGAATCACTGTGTGTAATCAAAATTTATTTGTGAAAACTGGCATTGAGGTATCTCGAGTAGAATGATCAGAGAAATTCATGCTCTCATGGCCGGGCAAACATTTCCACGATTTTCAAGTATAGCCAAGAGATGTAAGTCGCTCTTAATGGTACCAGTGGAATAAGGCTCTGGATGATAGTTTTTGCAAAAGACAGAAGGCCAATAGGAGGCACTTCATCACATGAATTGGATGGTGTTGACAGTTCACAAGTTGCGAGTAACTGTCTCCTCTCTCTCTGTACTGCGCGGAGAAAGCTTCGAAAATGTCATCGAACCCCCACGAACTTTGGGTTGATCAGTTGTCAAATACTTCTGACAAATATGATATCTATCCTGAGCTTCTGATGTTTCTTTGGATAGGCGAATAGAAAAGAATGTTCCCTTCATAGACTACAAGATCCAGTCAACTTCGCCCAAACTACATTGCTCAGGCCTGATCATATGGTGTATTGGGTGTTTTAAAGTCCCAAATAAGCCAGCAGGTATGGGACATCAAATAAGAATATGGAATGTTGAGCTGGCATTCAAAAATAAAGGAAGGAATTAGATGATCAGTTTCCAATGGCCACGAAACACCAACTTCGGTAGAGAAGGACAAAGAAAGGATGCATATCTATATTGGCCAAGTAATCGGGGAAACTGTGAAGTGTGAAGGATGGAAGGATTCATTCTCCATTTGGAACACGCTACCCATACAAGGCGAGACAATCTTCTTCGCAAATTCTCGGGCTTGAGTGATAGTTAGCGGATCTGCGATAAGAGAAAGAAAGCCCCCCGAGAATTAGATTATGATCAGCGATCTGCAGATATAATCCTATCTTCGTCGACTTTCTTGAAACAGGTATGCTTCTTGATCACTCTAAATCCAACAATCCGCTTTGAATCCCAAGATCAAAATTCAAGAAACACCAAACTAAATCTGGATCTTCGATGGATCCCCACTTTATCAGCCAAATAACTTAGGTTGCATGTGGAAATTTTGAGAAGCATTTCGTAGAATTTGATTGATGTCCTCGTGATATTGTTTTTGCATGAAATCTTCCTACTGCAGTTCTTCGTAACACGACTGTATTCTTGCTGCAATGTAATTAACCTCATATTCCAGCAATGGAATGCCACGAGAAATACGCATCGGAGGCGGTTTATAGCGTTGCATTTCATTTTCACGGTTAGTACCCTTTAGTATCTTATGATTACTAGGGAGTATGCTGGAACCAATGGGGTGTGAGAAGACAAGCTCGCCAGTCCGCCTCAACAAGGCGATTAAGATATTGGCTTCCAAACACCACTATTGCCCGGAATGTTATATTGTATGCAGACCTCTCTGCAGATACGTGTAAGGTTGCTGCGATATTTGATTCAGCTAGTCGACTTAGCAACAGTTTATAAATCCACAAAATCGTCCGATTTCAATAAGACGTTAAATGAGGGGCGTTGATAGCTCCTGATGTCTACTGCCACCTCCTTATTCGTAACAAGGCTCTTATAAAATGCCCGAACATCCATACAAAAGGATGTCATAGACGAGTGTATATGGTGATACATAACCAGTCCATACCCCCTTAATCCTCTTGCTTCTCACCCATCTTCCTGTGATTCCATCGCCAAGTGCAATGTCTTCTCAACTTAATCGATACTGGATACCCAATTTTGATATCAACAAGAGAGTCATCACCAAGGAGATCCAATACTATCTGGGACCAGAATCCACGCTGAGGCCATATACATGAGACGTACGTGATGACAATTTCAGCTGCCAAATAATCATGCTCACGGGGTACATAGGGAGAAGACGGATATCTGATTAGCACACCAGGAGAGTGCTTAACAGATGTGAGCACCATTATGTACAAAAGACCGTCTGAGAGTCTCGATTAATTTGATATATAGGAACAGATAGACGATATCTGTATCAAGTCGAAGGAGCTCTGGGAGAAGCAGGCAGCGGCTCGAGCCAAGAAAGAGTCAGACAAGCAACTAAAGCGGCCTCTGCACCAACCAGTCATAATTTCAAGAGGCTCAAAGCCCCGTTCCTCAAGGTCCCATCGGCCGGATCATAAGAGTTCTTGAAATTCGAATGGCCTAGGCTTGAAAGAGGACGAAAATGATCCTAACGATGCAAGTATCTTGCGCATGGATATTTCAGCGAGAGCTAAAGAGCGTGGCATCGTTCTTCTTTCATAGAACAAAAGGGCTCGAAGTCTGCCACAGGGCAAGGATACTGAACTGTTGCGGAAGTAAAAATGCATAGAGCTTGCATACATCTTATTGTTGCTGTTGATATCCTGGTTTCTTATGTAGCCTTCGCATCTTTTGGAGGTGTGTTTGTTTGCGTATAATATGCATATCCTTCTACATATCTGCCATTGTTCCAGTATAGGAAAATTCATATGTTGGCACAATTTTTCTCGAGATGTAAATGTCGGGAACAGATGTCAGTATCTAGAAGCCATTCTTGCCAATTGTGATTTTTTTGACAATGCAAACCAAAAGTGCCATTCCCTCTATGGAGGCGATCAAAGGTCCTGTGACTGTTTTCGCCATGTCTACCGCTCGAATCATAATCGTTAGCTATACCACTAGTCTTAGTCGTATTTGATGCAGCCGACATTAGGACCCGTTTAAAGCCTCACAATCCCGGACATCTAGGTTGAGGTGAGGCTGCATTTTAAATGCGATCGAATAGCATGTTAGGCTGAGTTGATCTGCAGCCAAGAACGAAGCGAGGCATTACATGTAGTTGCAGCTCTTTATCCTTGCACTGAATTTACCGGACTTTGGCGACATAAATTTTGTAGTAATTGTATTGACAATATAGACTTTCCAATCGTCCCAAGACAACAATTAGTGTTCCATCTGGTATTGGAACTTAATCATTTCTTAATTATGAGAGGAGCAAATTCTCAAGACCGACTTAATGAAGCCTTTTGACCTCAACACAAACTGAACTCAAAACCAACCTTGACCACATGGGATTTGGGTACTACTCGATGCCGTCTGTTTACTCATGTTCCTCTAGGGCTCCGACTGATCTATAAGACCCAAGAACTTTGATCTGAATCGGCTCGTAGGAACGAAAGTTAGCGCGGCCCCCAATGTCAAAACCACTATGTCATTGCCAGAGATATCGCCGGCATAGTGATTGCATGCAATGGAATACAAAGACTCTGTATATGGAGACTATGTTAAGCTTTTCAGGAAAAGATTGCGATATCTGGAAAGAGTGCGGTTTTCACTCAGCTTCGGGATGGCTTGTGAGGATCCTCATATTTGGCTCGAGTTTCAAACAAACTTGAACAGTTCATTTCTGCAACACGTATTGCAACTTTGAAGGTCTTATGTGTCCAATATCAAGGCCTAAGACTTCTTTCATATGCATCGAGTTGTATAGGACCAGATGACCACAAGGCAATTGCTTGAATAGCAATATCAGTCCCTAATTTAAGAGTTTTGATATCTTGTGGTTCGTCTGTGTCTGCTACATAACCCACAACATTGACCCACTCGCCAACCCGGGTTTCATGTTGGGTTAAGCTATTCAGCAGAAGTTGAACATTGACAGAGGCTTTGATCCCATTGCCAATGGGAAAGTTGTGTTCCAAAGTAAGAACAGCAGAGCCTCTGTTATAACTTATCACACTATATAAGTGCAATGTTAGTCTAACTCTATTTGAATTATAAACCTTTACAAATTGCTCTGTCGAGTACTTGGGGAACTCTCCTTAGAACTGGTGAGTAGCTAAGATCTGACAGAGAATGTCTGTTTTTTTCGGATAAGAGAAAGGAGGGATTACTAATATACATTGTAGAAAATGAAGTTTTTGTTGAAAGGAAAGAGGAGTTAATAGGGGGGATATCAATCATACCATCCTAAGAACCGAACTTTATCTCCTTCTGAAAACTGTGGAAGGTCGGCAAGTAATATAAGCTTCGAAGGGTTAGGTCCCGAATATTGTTTTGACATATTATTTGTTCTAACAACCAACTCAGAGAAATTATACTATGGGACTATGAGAAAAAAAAAGGTATTGGTGTTGTTGTTGTTGTTGATTCTTGTGGTAAAACTTTACCTGACCTACATGAAACTCGAGATCACTGGATGGCTGGGCTGGAACAAAGCATCGCACGTGATTCCTGATCTATCATGCGCTAACCTGATATAGACGAGGGGACTAGCGTCATCATCGACGCCATGTTACCACACTTTCATCATTCACTTCAATCAACTATGCGAAACAACCGTAGGCAACCACAAAAACATTTATAGAATCCCACCAACAAAACATACTCGACACTACTGGTTTCATCTTCCACAGCCAGCCAACTCGTCTACTTGCCTTTACCGTCTTTGTCCGACAAAACCAAGCTCCCCACTATCAAGTTCCGATAGCAGGCCTTATCATCAAACCCTAATCATTAGCCACCACTTCGATCGCTTTCGAGCCTTTTCAATCTCCTCATAATTTGCGAAACAGCGCTGGGGACTTGAAAGTCCTGCCAACCCAACGATTTCGAGTCCGCACAGTATCGTGAAATATGTCGGGTGTCTGGGGCTGGTTTGGGGGAGGGAGTGCGCAGAAAGCCAAGGACTCCCCGAAGAATGCTATCTTAGGACTACGTGCGCAGCTTGAGATGCTGCAGAAACGAGAGCGTCATTTACAAAGTCAAATGGACGAACAAGATGCGATAGCTAGGAAGAATGTTAGCACGAATAAGAATGGTATGTTCTATTTCTCCGGACCGTATATATAGCAGCTGCTGATATTTGGTTATTTCTTAGCTGCGAAGGCTGCATTGCGCCGGAAGAAGCAACATGAGCACACTCTAGATCAAACTATTGCGCAGATATCGACGTTAGAACAACAAATATACTCTATCGAAGCAGCCAACATTAACAAGGAGACTCTCCTTGCCATGGAGAAAGCCGGCAAGGCAATGGCAGCTATCCATGGCAAACTTGATATCAACAAGGTTGATGAGACAATGTACGTTTTTTGTGGTTCGATGAAGATGGAGATAAAGGCTAATGTATATACTTCTAGGGACAAACTTCGAGAACAGCATGCTTTGGGCGAAGAAATCGCCCAAGCTATTACGAGCGCACCTCTCGGCGAGCCTATAGATGAGACTGAGCTCGAAGACGAATTGGCGGATCTTGAACAAGAGCAGTTAGACAATAAGATGCTAAAGACTGGTTCCGTGCCAGTCTCTGATGAAGTTCATAGATTGCCATCTGTTGTGAATGGAGAGGGTGAGTTTCTAATACCCTTGCTATTCTTTTGTTGAAAGTTACTAATGGTTCAATTTCAGTCAAATCCAAAGCACCCGTTCATGTTGAAGAAGATGACGAAGAGGAAGAACTCCGAAGGCTACAAGCTGAGATGGCCATGTAATTCAAGAACAATAAATCCAATATTGAGTGAGTGGGTCGTTGGGCTTTCTGGTTTTATCAGTTTATTTTGTGTATGGGGGGGAGGCGTGCGAGATTCTTTTGGGAGGGCACTGGCAGCTTCAATTTTCAATTTGCACAAGAGAGGATATCGGGAGTTTCGAATCCATTAACTGCGACGGCGTTTGGGATTTGTTGTACATCTGTCAAACGGACACCGAATACCTTCTATTACCAATAAACTAGAATAACATCTACCAACAATGTAATGATGCATGTGGTTACCAAGACCTTCCTTGAAGTTCGCTCACATGATAGTCATTCACCGATCTGATACTGTGGATGGATAGGTAGATAGATACACATATACATACATAGGTACATGAAAGCTAAAGTAGGTATCCATCATGTCAGCCTCGCTTTTGAGTCATGTTTTACTCTCCTAGCTGAAACATTGGGAAGTCGACGACTAGCAGATACAAGTAGCAAAACACATCAAAAATCTATTTGAGAGGGGATGTTGTTATTCTTAAAGATTTAGATTCTGATTTATAATCCTAGTTGGCCCAGTTCATTCGGATCATTTTTTTAGTTATCGAATTAATTATAGAAATTCTCTTTGTTCAAGCCACTTCTGAATTGTTCCATCAACCACTCGTTTTTGGTCTTTTCGTACCCACACCACCAACACAACATCTTGTGCATCAATGCATCAAATATATGTAAGGTCTCACCATAAGTTATAACCCCTCATCTTCTAGATGCTTGAGGTGAGTTGAATTGACATATCGGTATCATCGACGGAATCGCTAAAAGAGCTAGATCCTCACCCCCTTGAAGATTATCGTACATCGGATACCCGGGCACCCAAAAGGATGGGTACAGTAACTCAGTAAGTACTAGGCGATAACTTATGTACCTAGTAGGTAGGTACTTGATGTAATGTATCTGTACTGACAACTCATCACGTCGCAAACACTATTCTGGGCATCAGCACCAAAAAGTTCCACCGGTGTGGCAAAGGTTACAATTAACCAATATCGTATGGATGACATTGGATGACATTGGATGCCATTGGATGCCATTGGATGCCATTATCATTTATTGGGGGTCCGAAGAGGGGTTTTGCTTGTTGTGATGTTTTTACTCTTCTTTTTGCTCATCACATTCTGATTTCGGTCTCAATTCCACGATGATTGACGGAGGATAAAGCTGGATATACAGGATGATCATCTACTGGTTCACTGGCTTGATTGGCTTCGCTGGTAGGTGATCGCAAGCATCAAAAAGATGAGGCAGGTATATAAGGCGACTGACCACGTTGCACAACACACCAGGTCAATCTGCACGGCGCCGCGAAACATTTTCGGGTAGCAGTCTCGTACATCAAGATATTCAATGAATTGATTGAATGAGCTGACCAGTCGGCGTGGTCGCTGGTAGGTTATTCAACGCAATCATCAATCATCGTCCCACATCATCCAGTGACATCTACCCCGTTTAGTACGACGTAGACGTATGAATTGAATGGAGGCTGCAAGCAGCAGGGGTTTTGGCCCATTTTACCGGATTTATTCCTGCACATTACAATTTTTTCTCTCTCTGGATTTTGAATTTTCTGACTGCACGGTCTTGCCCACTTTCTCATCAATGTGCAGCTTGGTTGGGCTGCACTCGGGGCCCTGCAACATAGATCGCGGATTGCCTCGAAAATCACATTTGATTATTATCATTGATTTGATTGCGACGTGGCTGCAATGTATCATCTTGGGCCAATAGTGGTTGAGCACGACCATGATTTAGGCAAATTTCCAATAATGCTGTCGACAAACATTGGCAAATCGTGGGATTACCGTGGGACTTCTGGCCCATCTCCATCTTATGCTATGGGAAAAGAGTGATACTGTACTCTCTTTTGTCAATGACTTCCTTCTTGTACCTACCAATGAAACTAATTTTCGTAGGAAATTCCGTTCTTGCTTCCGAATCTCTCTTTTAGTCTTGATTTTATTCATCATTCTATTTTCCTATAGGCGAATTGTTTTTCGCCGTGCCATCTGCTGATATAAGTCATCTTGGATTCTTCAATTATTGTACCGTTCTCCATTCCAACCACGTTGAATCGATTCTCGGGTGGTAACCAAACGTTTGTCACCCAAAGATTGGGCACCCGCATTCAACCGGAGGCAACCCCCCTCGTCATTGTAGACCATGGGAAGAAAGGATCAAAAGAACAATAAGAAGGACGTTCAATTCGTTCATCACGTAGAGGATTCTGCATCTTCTGTTGCTTGTGACGAGGTACACACACCCTCAGTATGAATATTTCTTTTTGTCCAGCCAGAACCACGGCCATTGGTAGTAATTGGTCCTCAATCCAGACAACTCAGTGGGCGAAACCTTTAGTATTGGATACGTCAAAGATTAAAATTGCCAAATATTATGAGGGGAAGACAGGTAAGCTTTCCTGATTCCATGTCTGCATCTCGAAATTCCATCAAAAGTCTATAATCTTCCCCACAATTATTGTTTTTGATCAATCGAACAATCATGAATGTTCCACTTCCATTAAAAATGCAACATTGAATGCTTCCATAGACCTAGCTTTGCATTGCTAACCAAAAATATAGACGATGAAGATGACGAGGAGGATGAAGGTAATGATAATGAGAATCAAGATAAATTAGAGGGAATACCAGAGGAGCCAATAGAAACGAAAGAAACAAGCGATACCCCGCTGTCTGAAAGTGAAGATGGAGATCCACCCTCACAGGAGGAAGACATCTACAAGGAGGAAGGGAATGAAGATGCACATGACTTGGAAGAACAATCTCAGTCTCCCGAATGCGACAAGCCCCTATCGACGACAGGTGAATTGACTGACTCGAAATTGATAGAGTCAACCGCGACTCCGGAAGAAAGTCTAGCGAATGATAGTACAGAAGCAGGTATGGAAACATCTTATATCTTGGAGTACTAAGTATCATCTTCACGTATTCATGAACGCTACTTGATTGATCTCATCTTTTTATACTTAAGATTGCATTATTGACTTTGAAACAGTGCCGGAGCTAGAATCGAATCATAGTTTAGAAAATCCTTCCGATCATACTCCAAATACATCCGATGACATCCCTCCTTCCGTTCCAGACGCTCCACCATCAGAAGATATACGGGACGACCGATATGCACTTAGTAAAATAGAATCCCATCAATCACATCCGTCAATTCATACAGTTCGTTTCGCCGACGACATTGCGTCAACAAGTTCCAGATCAAGAGACAAGAAGATCAAGAGGAGTAGTAAGGATAGAAAACCACCTGTGCCCGAAGTCCCACGCAAACCTGAGTCTCTATTGAGTAAGAAGGTTAAAAGGAGCAGGGAAAGCTCACGGTCTACTGAAGACGGACTACGAGTACCACCAGAAGTTCCAGACCCGCCCCAGCGGAAACATGCTGAGCTCGAAAAACATTCGAGGGGGGAGAAAAGGAAGGCAAAGGACCGGAAAGAGAAGGGCGACGCTAAGAAAAGTAGGAGCAAAGGAAGGGATGCTCCTAAAATGGCATTAGTACCAATACTGAAATCTTCGGAAACGACAATACATAGTGATGAGTATAAGTCAGCTGAAAGTAATAGTGATGAAGCAGTCCAGGAGCCACAGACAATTCCAGATGTTGTTCAGCCAGTATCAGGTGAGTACTACTATTGCTTGATGAAGTTTTGAAATATCAATCTGCAGTCAACAATCAGACGTCATGAATAACACGTACTAACTATCACCTCAAAAGATCCAGACCCCCCACCTCTACCAGAAGATAAACCAAGTGAGAATATAGAGGCCGAAGGAATGATACCAATACAAGAAAACTTACCAACAAAACTTGAAGAACATCCAGATACCGAGGAGATACCAACCAGTGATGTACCAGCTTCAGATGACGTAAAGGAGGAAGAAGAAAACGTTTCGAGCATGCAAAACAATCAGGCCGTCTCCGAGGAACATGTAGCTACAGAGGAGGCATCCACAACTGATGTGCCAATAGCAGAAGATTCACAGGTGGGAGGTGGAGATATTCCGAGCACAGAAGACAATCCCGCTGCCATCGAAGAATCTCATGTTGATGAGGAAGTTCCTGTTACAAAGGAAATGGTTGAAGTTGAGGATGATAAGCTTATTGCTGAAAATGGGATGGAGATCAATGCGGAAGAGCCCAACAGTGAGGTTGTTTCGGAAGCTGCAGTGGAAAGCCCTATCGATGACGAGAGTCCTTTACCGGATGAAAATGATCCACAAGATCCGGAAGTGGCTGAAAAGAGCTCGAGCAGCGAAGATATTTCAACTGGTACCGAGGAGATGTCAGCCCCTGGGGAAGAGGCCTTAGAACCTGTCGAATCCACACCAATAACTGCCACCGGCGAAGAAATTTCAAGCTCCCTGGAGACACCCACAACAATCGATGAGCCTCAACCAGAGGATGATACTCACTCTAGTGACGAACCGGCTATGCTGGAAGAAAGTACACCTAATGATGACGAAGTACCACCTCTCATCGATCATGTATCCGGGGAAAACGTTGGATCAGACCCCAAAGTCGAACTTGACGCGAACGAGAAATCAATCGAGGAAAAGTCTTCTGAAGAGTCCGTTTCTGAAGAAGTCTCCGACCCAACCGAGCCAGTATCTCTACCTGTCCAGGAGCCAGTAACGATCGAAAGTGATGTTCAAGACGAGGAGAAAGAAGAATTAAATCATATCGATCATGAGACTTTGGACACTCCAGAAGAAGTTGTTCCGGACCAAACAGACATAGAAGATACAAAAGATGAGCCTATTCAACCAATCGAAGCCGAGACGCCTAGTCCCGAAGAAGCTGGACCCGAAAGTGTTGAAACTCTTGAAGAGGCAAATAATCATACCGATGAAGAATCTAAGCCAAATGAACCTTCTCCTCACTCAAGCGAGGACAATCCGGCGGAGACAGAGCCTAACAGTGTCGATAACGATATTCTGACCCCCGAGGATCCGACTGTTACTACCGAGACTAATGAGCTGGCAGATCACGTGGAAGACTCTAATGTCGAGGATGATGTCATTCAAGAATTACCACAATCAAGCGATTCCGATGACAGTCCAGCCATTGAAAACAAGGTTTCTGGAGATTCTACCGAGGAGAGTCCTGAAATCAGCCCAGATACAGAAAGCGTTGAACCCAACGATAACGTCCTAGATATTCCAGCTACAATCGAAAAGTCACCTCAGAGCCAAGAAGATGCCCTCGTCAACCCCGAAGCTCTGGAATCTGATGCAAAAGTCGAACAATTGCCAATCGGGAGTGAAAATGCTCAAGAAACTCCAGTAAAAGACGAAGCTTCGGACGAGAGTCCTTCGGATGATCCACAACCTATAGTCGAGGGAGATTCAACACCAGAAACGTCTGTGGAAGAGGAAGCTTCGGACAAGAGTCATTCGGATGATTCAAAAGCCATAATCGAGAAACATTCAACACCGGAAACGTCCGCGGCAGTTGAAGACACGTCTACCGATACGGGAGAAAGCAATGAGAGTCCAGAAAATGAAGAAACACCGATGACAATTGATCAAACCTCCAACGAGGCAGAAAGTGCTCCAGAATTACCGGAATCTGAAGAAAGTCTAACGGAGATTGAGGAATGTCAAGAACCACAAGCAAATGACGATACATTAAAACAACTCGAGAACGGCGTTGTACCGGCAGTGGTTCAGGATGACTTGGAGCCGGAGAATGCCTCATTAGGAGATGTTGAAGATGTTCATGGATCCTCCGAAGATGACGAGATAGCAGATTTACTCATGCCTGAACAAGATCCCGTAGTGATTGAGGAGACATCCAATCATCCAGAAAACGTGCCAACAGAAGATGCTTTAGACAAGACGGAAGCGATCCAAGAATCTCCAGAACCCGACCCAGTGCCTAAGGCTGACAATGAAACCGTTCCTGTCAATACCGAAAACACTATGGAACAACCAAGCGAGGAATCTCAAGTTGAATCTGGAGAGGAACAGCTTTCCAATGAAACTCAAGAATTGCCGGCTAGCAATGAACAGCAAAAAGAAATCCATCAAGATCCTCCTCAGGATCCGAATGACAGTTTCGCACAAACAACTCCAGATAACACCAATCCCGAGCCAATTGAAGAACCTCAAATCGAGCTGCCTCCTACCGAGCACGATGACGAAATCGAGGGCAAAGAGTTGAAGGAATCCGATCCAATCGAATCGGAAAACGAGGCATCAAGTTGGGATGGCGATTCAAATGATGAAGATTCAGAATCTGGTAACCAACACGAGGATGAGAACTCATCTGTTACCGAAGAAAATGGCCTTGAATCGGCAGGCAGTGAGGAGAAGCATTTGCATGAGACAGAAGAAATCAATGCTCCGGTTCTTGACAACGAATCAGATGAAGTTCCAGTTCCTTCCTTGGATAATGCACCCAAATCATTGGACGGAGAAGCTGATGTTCAACTTGATGAAACAGCAAACATCGATAACACCAATAATCCTATCCCTGGAGAGGAACCCGTCGAGGGCATCCCCGAGGCCGTAGAGGAGAATAATCAGCCAGCTGTAACAGCTACCGTTGGAGATCCCGATACTCCTGTTCACGAGGAAGAACCCCCCGAAGACCTGCAGGTATCCGTTGCGGACAACCTTTCCGAAGCGGTGGTTGAGAAGGATGCTATTCAGCCAAGCGAAGACATCGATATTGCAGAAGTTCACGAACCCGAAAGAGAAGTTATCGAAAATACAGAGGCCCCTGCCGTTGAAAGTCTTCCCGGATTAGTCAGTGAAGGAGATAGAATTGTTGAGACTTCGGAAACAGACCCATCCCAGGAAATTGGCAATCCTACCCAAGAGTTAGGGGAAGACCCAGAAACACTCGTTATCGAAGGTGATACTCCCAAGGTAGTCGTCGAGGAAGAAGGATCAGTACATCCAGAAAGAGCAGTTCATGACGAGGAGACCGAAATTCCAGTGCCCGAGGACGAATCTGACCAGAGCCCGGATGCCCCTGCCATGGAAGCTTCCGAGCCAGTCAGCGAGGAACCCTCAGTTGAGATCATGGAAAATGTCCCATCCCAGGAGCCTGACAGTCCTGTTCCTGAACAAGGGGCAACTGAGGTACCAGAAATTTCCGCCAATGAGGAAAATGAGTCCGAACCAGTTGTCGAAGACAAAGAACCTATTCAACCCAAAGAAAGCTACCCAAATGAAGATCCCAACCTTCCAGTCCATGAAGAACAGCCAATCGAAGCGCATGAATCTCCTGCAGGTTAGTTATTAAATTTTCTTCCGCTAACTCACTTAATTACGACAAGATACTAAGATAGCAATGAATAGCCCCGGAAGAGGTAGAGAGCGATGATATCACTGGTGATGTTGCTGCTAGTAAGTTCACCTACATTTTCTCTTAACATTGTGCTTCGTCTGGTAGGGATAAATTCAGGGAAATAACAAATTCCATTAGTCACAGAAGATGAGACCCAAGCCATCGATGAACCCCATCCACCCGCGGAAGAGGATAAGCAGATTATTGAGAATGTAGAAGCTCCAGTCGGTAAGAGGCCCCAAGAATTTATAATCAGAATTTCTGGCGTACTAATAAGTTATTGAAAAGAGCCAGATTCTATTCCCACCGATGATACACCTGTTGAAACCATGGCAGATAAAGAACCATCAGTGGAAGCTCCCGAAGAGGAGGGACCTCTAGAAAAAGATGCTGGTAAGTACTGCATGGACTTTTTTATGTTGTATCATGAAATGTGGCTAAAAAGATGTCTAGATCCCGAGTCAACACATATGGAGACTGTTCCAATCGAAGAGCCTTTGACTGAAGATCTTCCTACTGAAGAGCTCCTTGCCGAGAATCCGCTTACCGAAGAGCCCGCTGCTGAAATTCCTCATACTGAAGAATCTGCTACCGATCCAATCCAGGAAAATCCAGCTGGTAAGTGTTTGATAGCTCATTTCTCCACCATTTCCCCAAAACAAGTTACTCACACCAAGATATAGAACCAGAGCCTGAGCTCACACCAAGCGAGCCTATTCCCGCTCCAGCCGAGGAATCAGCTCCTTCAGAACCTCTTATAGAACCAGAACCCAGTAAGTGTCCCGGAGGATTTGAATTCCTTTCAGACTGGGCTTTGGATCCCTTACGTCGAGCTTCCCCAGAAAATAACAAGCTTATCGATTTACCCCCAGCAGCCAACGGTCCCCCTTCAGAGCCTGTGGTTATAGAAGATATTGCCCCTGGTAAGTTTACACTTTTTCGTCTCTTGTACACGTTATGATAAATAAATTAATGCGGGGTATTTAGAACCCGCCTCAGTTGATAATCTCGAGGAACCTGTGATTGAAAGCAATCCCGAGCCGGAGAGCGTTAAGACACAAAGTCCTATTGGTAAGTTATTTGTTCTCATACACTCTGTACACATGCAACTGCATACGTATGTCCACGATCATTTGACACGTGTCGAATCTCATACTTCACGACAACTCCACCTATCAATTTTGAATACATTCAAAACTGTATATTATACGGCGAATATTCTATTGGCGAGCTTCGGTGTCAATCTGCTTCAAATAAATTTCTACAACCCCAAGATGTGTTTCAGAGGTCCGGAAATATCGAGAACTTTCATGCCAAAAAATGACAAATCCAAAGTTTGAAAGAATAATGGGCGTTGCGAATGCGAATCGATCCAATAAACACCTCTCAGAGATGAAATAAAAAAGTGTCCTCACACACAAACTGACATGAACTGTTTCTAGAACCCAACCCAATCATAAAAACTCCCCAAGCACCTACCAATCCGATTGAAAATATGGAGGATGGGGAACAAGCACCACCTGGTACGTTAGATCTTGGAGACCTTGAATTCATTCTCTTTTTGGGACTAGAATTTATAATAGCCCAATGTTTCAGAGATAGTGATGCCCGTTTCCAACTCCCCCTTAATCCCTCAGTCCCTGACGCTAAGTTTTATGCAGAGCCCGAACCTACGCAAGTTGATGTCGTTGAACCAATTGAAGAGATTCAGGGCGAGGAAAAGCCTGAGGTTGTTGAAACAATAAAGGGTGTGTTGTCATTACTTTTATGAAACGAATGTATACTGACATTAAATAGATGATCCGGCAGCTCAAGAAGTAGTCGCTGAGCAAGCTGAAGAGGCTGTAGCTCAAGAGCCAATTGAAGAAGTAGCTGTTGAGGAAGCTGAAGAGGTCATGGTTCAAGAGCCAATCGAGGAAGCAACCTTTGGGCAGGCTGAAGAGGCTGTGGTTCAAGAACTTGCTGGGGAGCCAGCTACCGACCAACTCCAAGATGATACCACTAGCGAGGCGCCAATACTCGATCCATCTACAGTTGAGACTGCTAAAGAACCAGTTGTCCCGGAGCCAACCATCGAAGCACCGATTGAAGAACCCATCGTCGAAGATGTCCAGGAATCAGTGGAGACATCCAGTGAGCCGGATCTCCAACAACCTGTCGAAAGTGTCCAGGAACCATTAGTGGAAGCATCTAGTGAACCAGATCTCGAACAAACTGTCGAAAAAGCCAGCGTTACACCGCCAAACGAAGAGCCCGTCGCCCTAGTGGCTGAACAGCCGATCGATGATATAGTTGTTGCGGAAGCACTGCCTTTAGAGGAGCCAGTGATAGAGGGCGCTGCTGTGGAACAAACTACGGAAACCAAAGAGGCACCCGAGGAATCCGTCGAAGATCTATCATCTGATCCACCTGCGGCCCCAAAAGTAGAAGAAGTCCCCGGGGCTAAAGAAATTCTACAGGAAGTCACTGAGGAGTCCCCTGCTCTCTCAGATCCCATACAAGAGCAAAGCGAGTCTCAGATGGAGGACAAGCCGAAGGAAGTCGAAGACTTTGAGGCTGTTGCCCTTGCTGGACTTGCAGGTGCAGCGGCTGCCAAGGTCTTGGACGATAAGGAAAATGACAGTCCAATAGCTGACCAGCCTCTGGTAAATGAGGCGGAACGTATTGAAAATTGCGAGGATAAAGGAGCTGAGTCTCCCTCGAAATCGGACAAATCGGATAAAGACAGACGCAGACACAGGAGCTCGAGGCATCACTCATTCAGTAACCACAACTCAACCAAGTATGGTGAATACCCACCTTCCAGCAGACCAGAAGAACAGCCAAGACGCCGAAGACATTCTCATAGCCACAGAACCAGTGGCGCAACCAGTGACAGAGAAGAGGATAAAGAGAATTATCGTAGCCACAGATCTAGTCAGAAGGAAGATGATAGAGAGAGACCAGAACGTTCTCATCGCCGACGATCTGGCCATAGGGAAGATGAGCCCGAGCGTTCTTATCGACGTAGGTCTGGCCGTAAAGAAGAAAAGGAAGATAAAGAGGAGCCAACCCGTGGTATTTCTCCAGCAAAGCAATCTCCAGATCGTCGAGATAGTGCTATTGAGGGTGTGGACGATGAACGGGAACGTGAACGTCGTCGACGCCATCGTAGAGACCGCAATCGAGAGGAGCAAGAAGAACACGACAAGAAAAAGGAGGAACGCCGAGCAGCTAAAAGAGAAGCAGCAATTAAGGCCGAAGAAGCTTTCAGAGCAGAAGAAGCACGAAAAGCTGAGGAAGAGGCACGAAAGGCTGAGGAAGAGGCACGAAAGGCTGAGGAGGCACTGCAAAAGATAAAATCTGAATCCATTCCGTTACCCGCCGCCCCAAAACGATCAAGGTCACGAAGAGAAAGCATTTCAAAGTCATACTCAGTCACTCCGCATGAAAGTGACGGTATTCGATCTCGACTTCTTAGTTTCAAGAAGCGTGTTCAAAGCGAAGTTACCAGTCCATTTATAGCAAACGACGAGCCACATATCAAGGAGAAGCTTACCCCCGTCACACGTTCAAGAAGAGACTCCATCGTTGATGAGCCGGGCCCTCAGTTCGATGTTACACCAGAACGTACGAAAATGAGTTCTAATACGAGAAAGTCATCTCGATCATATCCACATCATTCTCACTCGTCGTCTCGCAGAGAGTCTGAACGAACTCGTAGTTCGAGGAAAGAGCCAAGTCGAGGAGATTCTACCAGGGAGAAGTATAAGACGGAGGAGGAGAAGGAGGCAAGAAGGGCTCGCAGGGAGATGAAAAGACAAGAAAAGCTTGCCAAGGAAGAGGCGGAAGCAGAAAATATACTCCAAAGGGAGAAGGACGATGAGTTGAGGCGTAAACATCGTGAGGAGAGACGAAGAAGACGAGAAGAAAGAGATATTGAGGAACGCGAGGCCAAGGAGCGAGAAGTTGGGAATCGAGAACTGGAGGAGAAAAGTGACAAATCATTGGAACCATTCCCCGAAAACGATGTCGACACCGGAGAATCGAAACCTAGCTCGAGGCCAGTCACTCGGGAAAGACGACCAACAAGACACCATTCGAATTCTTATAGTTCACGAGGCTCTCGTCCAGAAATACCCACATCCCGAGGCTCTCGTACATTGGAAAAGCCAGCGGAAAAACCAAAGAATGCTTTCAAGAGCTTTATGACATTGGGGAAAAAGGTCTTTGCTTCGGAAAAGCATTGATCATGATATGTATAACGGCCATGATGATATACGGAGTTCTTTTGTTCGATTATTTTGATTTCGATTCTTGATTGGTATTATGTTTATGATTGTGGAATATGCATTTGATAAGTTCTGGCTGGTGATCTGATTATTGCGACGATGTTATAATATGGTGGTCGATCTGTGTTTTCAAGTACATAATTGTGTTGAGCAAGATCTAATGGGGTTCTTGATGTCTGTCAGCCCTTTGTATTTCAAGTCTCCTTGGTCATATTTCATTTGTTCAACTGTAGTTATTGAATGTACTTAACAATCTTTGGGATAATGGATATTAGAATGAATAGTCGTTTCTTTTCATTTGCAGTTGAGCAGTTTATCGTTATGTTAGCTTCAATTTCTTGGTTATACTTCATCTTCCTATCGAGATTCAAATTGTGGCTCTTTAATCCACTTGTTTGTGCATTCAACCTGGATTCAAATACGAAGAAGATATTCGCTGCTGGTGTGGTACTTGGTGTTATTTGGAAGCCATTTCGAAGCAACACTACCTGCATCAGGGGGGGCCTTGAGAACAAACTCCGCGAACTCCAGATTGATGAGAATGGACTAATGTGTGGCGAGGAGAGCAGAAGGTAACCCCAATTTCATACCTAGTCTTTGGCCCTTTGATTATTTGCAACCAAACGTTCCTGTTTCTTATCTGAACGTATTGGGAAAGTATCGGACGAATTGCCAATTATGTTAGAAACTTTAAGTATGCTTTCATCTGATATCACTTCATGATTGTTCTAGACCGTGCTGCTCAGGGAGAGAAAGAAAGTGGCCAATTTCGCGGAGTCTTGAATCAACACCGTCAAATCCACAAACCCACAACTCCACATATCCACCTGCACGTCCATTCTTCGTACTACGTTGACAGATTGAGATCGTTCTTTTGACATCTAGGGCATAACCAATATAAGACGTTCTGTCTATTCCTTCATGATTTGTTAAGTTTCAATTATGCATGCATCTATCTGCTTGCTTCGTGCTGTTGCCGACGGCTATTGAAGAGCGACGAAAACCGACCCGTCCCAGTTCTTATCATCGGCGATGTTAATAGAAGAGTCATGCCTTTAATACCGCAACCTTGAGGATTCATTGGGCTCTTGGTTTAATGAATTTAAACCGTCTTGTTGGTACACTGTTGGTTATATCTCGTTCTCGTGTTCGAGTAGCATGTATATATTGTGGCGGATTTATCATTTACGCCGCAATTCCCAGCCGCCTTGCTTTCTTAATTTTTCCCTCATGAAATTCGATTTGTCGTTATACGTCCGGCGTCTGTTACCACTTGCATGGCCATACCCACATTCGTACGGACATGACATGTACAATTTTCTTCAGTTAGAGTTCATGCTTACGAGTTCGTTCGGTACCAAATTGTGTACGCAGTAGTGCCAGTCCAGTGCCACTGTGACAAGCGCTTGATGTTGACCTGGAGATGATTTTCCGGTCTTGACCAGGGCGAACAGGCAAAGGGGGCGGAGAAGACAGGGCAAGACATATCAGCGCTTTGAGATTTCTCCCTGATCGTTCCACAAGGATAAGTTTTGATTGTCGCCTCAATCAGGAAGTTAAATTGCGCTCAAATGGTCTGTCTATCCGGAATCCTCGTTTCATCCGAATTTTTACAATCAAGTAAATACGTACTGAACCACATTTGTTCCCCTGGATTCCGCTTTTCAATAATAAGTTGGAGATGACAGCTGATATTGCTTGATCCGTTTGTAGAAGGCAGAAAACACGAGCACATTTTTGATATGTGTCCCAACATCTGTCAAGCCACCAACATGCCTTATGCCCTACACTGAAATCCAATCCAACTCTATTGCATCCGGACTTCAACCTTTCAACCCCTTTTCGGTTTTCACCCAATACGATCAGATATTCGTCATTATCGTGATGATCTACAGTTTTCACTGACCATGCCGCACGTACCACAATCATTGCAGCGTCTTCACCACAAGGCCACCCACAAACCCGGGGTATATAAAAGGATTGAAAACCTTCTATCAAAGCTAAAAAGTACGGTCCATCATAGAGATAGAGTCAATTTGTGACCACACAACTGACTATTGGAAAGAAGTTCGGACGCTTCCTGCCCAGGAAGATGCTCATATCTTAGAACCATGTAATGGATTCTTCAATCTACCAGCGGAGCTTCGGCATGAGATTTACTCGTATCTCTTCAGGAATTTGAGATGTCGAGATGATATTTTCTCTGAAGCAGAATGTCACGACTTTTTCGTCCACGAAGGAGCAGTTTTATTCCGTGTGAACCATTGGTTCCTGGATGATGCGGCTGAATTCTTGTGTCGGATGAACCCTCGATTTATGTTATATCGACCTTCCCTATGCCGTTTTGTTTTTTCCATCACATATGATTGTGTTCGATTTCTGAAGAGTCTGGAATTATCAGTTCCATCTTCCGAGACCAAATTACTAGAGCCAATCCTCGAAGAAATCATAGCCTCTAATGCTCCGTTGACCTCACTGACTCTACATCTTACTCCTACGTTTCCGGGGAGCTTAAGCTATCCATGGCCAATGTATATCATTCCTAGATTACAAGTGGAAACACCAGCTAAGGAACATTTTTACAACATTCATCCTCATTATTTATCTATCGAATATCATTCGCAAGCTGCTGTGGATAATTGCCATCGATCCCCATTATTGATAGGCAAATTACAAAATCTTCGATATTTAAAGATTACAGGTCAGCCAGAATTCGATGTCATGTTTGAGCTTGCCATAGTGAAACTCCATCTGGGAATGATGGCCGCTGCGAAATCTGCGGGGACATATCTTGCCCTATCACCGAATAATGGGCCTCGTGGTGAAGAATGGTATTATGAAATTTGGATCATTCCAAGTAAGTCATTCCTACCATTGGTCGACTTATACAATGATCGTTGCAACGCTTTCACATGGAGGTTGACATTTTTGATGCTGACATTGTGTATAGCCTCGCGTCACTCAAAGCCAGCAAGTCTTGCGTCGCATAAGCTCTTACAGTGCTGATGTAGACATCTCAACTTGTACCGAAGACCTTTACAGACTTCATTTCTGCTATAAGCATGTCCAAGCAATATGGCTCTTACCAGTAGCCCATTTTCTCTGCCTTTCCCAGCAGAGATAAAATGCTCTACATGTAAAACCCACTTTTGCTCTGTGTCTCTATCACGTAAGACTAAAGAAATTAGACGAAGACACCGCTTCACAACTACTCGAGTATATCAACATTGAACTAGTGGGCTTGGAGAGTTCTAATTGCTGACCACTTCCGCCTTGGTTCATTCATCATGCAATTTTCACCGATAAAAACAGATCACAAATCATCAACTGGTGAGATCAGTCTGCTGATTTACGTTGAACAAAATAAAGAAAGCTTTATGTCATCGGGCGCAACAGCAAAATACCTCTCGGAAGGACCATAGCATGCGCATATATTCTGTGGTGCCACGTAAGAGTGAGCCTCATCTATACTTCGACAAATAACAATTGGAAGTACCGCAACCAAAAAAGCCACATTTCGATAGGAAACAGTGACAACCTGGGAATTTGACGATTAATGAGATTCCTCTGAATCCTGGATAGACTCGAGCATCAGTGTACCGATTTTCCATCCTAAAAACAGGTTGCCACCCGAGAACCGTCAAGTTGACCCGAATCATGCCGGATTCAAAGTTGACCGATTCCGTCTTGAAAGATATCATTGCCACTCTACAGCACCGAATCTACTATGCAGTTCTAGTCGCAAATAAGCGACCACTTCATATATATTATACGTTATTGACAGGGCAGATGATCGGCGCAATATTACCCTAACATCAAAGGATACCCGAAAAGTTCTCATTCTATCTCAACTTCCCAGAAATCTTCGTTTCTTCAATCTAAGAAGTTATTCTTCATATCTATGAGAAAGCTTTGCGCATATTCATCCGAACTTGATATATCTATCGCCTTCGACTTAGCGAGACCATACCAAATGATATCTGTCGAAAATCAGGGGTGGATAATGACGAACTTGTTTCAATTCACGATGTTATCTTTACAATAGATGAAATGATCTGCTAAGACCAAGAAGGCAAAGTATAAACTTTTCAATATCCATGGTCATACTTATTCAATTAGAATCTGCTCGGAATCTATCCACGATCAACTATCCTCGAATCGAGACTTGGTGCCCAAAGCCAGATACCAGCAACACTATCTTAAAACCATTCCACCATTCGCACATACAACCTGTCCAGTACACCATTGACTATCACTCGTACACAACATACCCACAATCCCCGCAATCTCAGAAGTGTAAGCCGGTCTACCTCCCGCATTTGGCGCATCATCTACCAAATCCTGATCATCCACATCCGGCCTGATCTTACTTCCAGGAGTACTTTCAATCCAAGGTTTCAGCTCCTTCTTGAACCCCGCAGTGGTACCTGCCCACATATCTGTCTTCACTGGACCTGGATTAATGGAGTTTACCGTTGCGCGATCATGCAATTCGCGTGCCCAGGTTCGTGTCATGGCATCTACAGCTGCTTTGGTACCGCCATAGACCGTTTGGCCCCAGAAACCCTCTGAACTAGAGACGGAACCGAGATTGATGATGCGGCCGGATCTATCGTTGGGAAGATAGTCTAGTGCGGCTTGTAAAAGAAGAAGGGGACCAAGCACGTTGATCTTGTATTGCCAGTTGAAGTCATCGATTGTGATGTCTGGGATGGGTGTGTTTTTAGATACACCTGCATTGTTTACCAGGATATCGATTTGGAACTTTCCGGAGGGGTCTGAGAAATGGGATTTAGTATTGCTGATGATGGTTTCTGCGCCGGATTTCTCAGATACATCAGCTTGGACGATGAAAGTTTTAATGCTGTGTTTTTCTTCGAGCTTCTTGGAGAGCTCGCTGGTGAGAGTAGCGGAGGAATTGGATGTATAGTTTAGGACAAGGTTGGCGCCTTTTGATGCGAGGTTTTCGGCAATTGCTGCTCCGATCCCTGGGGTTTTGTTAGTTGGTGTTGGTTTTATAGGATGTATAACTTTATGGGTAGGAGTGGAAAGAAGGCTTGGGGAACATAGAGAAAGATTTGTAGAATAGAAATGACAACAAGCAATTGACTCACCTCTAGAAGCACCAGTAATGATGGCAAGTTTGCCCTCTAAGGGTCTATTTGAAGCCATTGCGTAGTTTTTGATGTGATATGAATTTCTCGAGCAGTTTTGTTTTATATCACAGATATAGAAGTGATGATTGCACTTTTGTCTTTTGATTACTGGATCGCTTGATCAATCAACGAGGAAATAAAACGAATAAACAACAGCAAAAAGGAAACGTCTACTCAGCCTTTATATATGTGTAACAAATAGTCCCAACTTCACTCCATTGACTACCTAACCTATTCACCTTCCTCATACCCCCACCATACATCACTTGAGCATTCTATGGTGGGGTTATACATAATTGTCGGCATAGAAATCCCCGGGGTCCATTTATCATTTCCTTAGTTCTTATCGGTTAAGCGCACCAGTTACGTGTGGTTGGAGAGGAAGCTTTGCATTACACCATACACCAATTGTTGACCTGTCAAACCGAGCTCTAAACAACCAACCAGCTATCCCACTCAAATCCCTCACAGTCCTCCGTTGAAAAGAGCAAAATTGGAAGAAAGGCCGTCGCATTAATAAATATGGATATTAGACTATTACGATCCTCGGATATTCCGCATGTTCAACATGCCAATATCACCAATCTTCCCGAAAAGTTCGTCATTCCCCTCCCTCTCTTCCCTCTACCCCTCCAAACTAACCCCCCTCTAGCTACTTCATGAAATACTACCTCTACCATGCCCTCTCCTGGCCACAACTCTCCTTCGTCGCAGTCGACGTTTCGCGTCCCCAGAAAACCCCCTACGATTACCCCCGCATCGTCGGCTACGTCCTTGCGAAAATGGAAGAAGATCCTGCGGATGGCGTGCAACATGGTCACATTACTAGTCTGAGTGTTATGCGCACCCATCGTCGTCTTGGTATTGCGGAGAAATTAATGAGACAGAGTCGTATGGTCTCTCTTTTCCTTGTCCTACTCATTCTCATCCCTTCTCATCTCCATTCCTTACCCACGGGGAATTGGTCTTCACATCAAGACTATGAATTTCCACAATAAAAACACAAAAACATAAAAGCTAACCATATCAATCCAATAGAAAAAGCAATGGTCGAAACCTTCTCCGCCCAGTACGTATCCCTCCACGTCCGTGTCTCCAATCAAGCCGCACTCCGTCTCTATCGCGACACACTCGGATTCCAGACCGAGAAAATCGAAGCAAAGTACTACGCCGACGGTGAAGATGCCTATTCGATGAACTTGGACCTATCGTATATACGCGAGCAGATACTAGATGAGGAGGATGGAGATGAGGGAGAGCCTGTCGGGAGCGCAGGAAGCGCAAAGGACGCGAAGGCGATTGAGGAGGGGAAGGATGGCGAGGCGGGCGAAAAAAAGAGGAAGGTTAAGGTTGGGAGGGGACTGGGGGTAGGAGAGTTGGTGGAGAAAAATGAGGCGTTGCCTATTAGGGAGGGGAAGTGAGATAGATGGGTGGAAATATTTTGCGATTCCTTGTTTCAAGGAGACGGAATGAATGAGGGTTATTAAATGGATCTGTATGGGATGCTAGGAGGACTGCATATATTCCTGGAGTCTAAAAGTCATTTTCATCATGCTGGTTTGTGGTGGCTTTATAGATGGTATGATATCATATCTAGGAAAGGTGCTGCTCTTGTGGAAACATGAATGCAGTTTGCATACCTAGTGTATCATGGATGCCCGAGGGGGAGGGAGTAATCTTCTCTCAAGTAAGATTACTTTTACAGTCTATATATAGATCATATGGATTGAGAATCAAAAATACTCGATATTTGGCATCTCCTTGTTTCTTTGAATTGTAAATCAACTTGGCTTGTGAAAGATCAAAAATATAGAATAGCTTGATCCTTGAGTCCTAGTATGCCTTTGCTAAGCTTCTAACATAGCTATATCGGAAAATGATATCACGAGAATGCTTTACGCATCTATATTCTATATTTCATACATAAGTTTCCCACTCAATCCATCGCAAAACGCAAAGCGCCAAAATCCATTTTCCTATAAAATCACAGTACTGCTACACTATCATCACACCACATCATGACGAGAAACAGAGATTTCCGTTGGTTTGAAAAACTAAGTATTTGTTTAACAGAATAAGAAACTAGAACTACAAAGATACCCCATCACCAGTGCCAAGTTCTCCTGAAATAGGCAGTGCTGGGTCAGCGGGTAGTATGGGGTCGGGTTTGGCGACCTCGAGAGATTCGTTTGGTGGGGTAGCTGCGTTGATGGGAGGGTTTGCTTCGATTGGGGGATTGGTTGGAGGGTTGTTTGATGGGGGTGGGATTGGATCGGTGGGTGGGTTCACAGCTATATCTGTGGGTGGAGCTGCTTCGACTGGAGGATTTACCTCGTCATTTTGAGAAGGTATTTCTTCGGCGGGAGGAGGAGTCGTTTCCACTGTTGCTGGGTTTGCGGGATCTATGGGTATTGTTGGGTCGGTAGGGGGGTTTGGCTCAGCAGGAGGAAGTGGTTCGGCGGGAGGGTTTGGATTTGCGGGTGGTAATGGATCCGTGGGAGGGTTTGGCTCGGCGGGAGTAGCTGGCTCCGGAGCTGGAGGCTGTGGTGGGGGAGGAACAACGTCCTCAGGTTTTTGGAGGCCGATATCATTTACTGGCTTTGGGGTATCAGATGGAAGTGGAGGCACTGAACACACTTTCGGATCTTTCGCAAACTCTGGACCTTTGTAGATTGGGTTTGGGTCTTCTCCCAATATACTCTGTGATTTAATCAAGACTGGAATTACAGCTCCTGTCTTTAAGGGGAATGTTCTATGGCCGATAACTCGTAAGATAGTGTTGATAGCTCCGGAATGGGAACTGAGTGAAATGAAAGTACTATTATCATTCGTGAATAGATCATCCAGGAGAGCTTTGAATCTTCTATTCTCTGTCTCGTGAGTTTCTGAGTAATTGGCGCGCCAATAAGGATCTTCTTCTGGGAAATTGGATTCAAATTTCCAAGTAGGGGCGAGAGCGTGGATATAAGTTTTCGAGCGGCGTCGATCGCAAGTATGAGAGGAGATACCTTCACGGAGAAGTTCTTTGATAATGGGGGTGAATGGAGGGGAGGTGGGCGGAAGTGGTAGATTGCTGAATGTAAGGGAACATGTTTCGAGACAACGTGTCAGGGGTGAGACGTAATAGGACTGTGGTGGGGATGCCTTTTGTGTAGTGATTAGTTTCTCCCAGAAATCGTTGGCCACCAGAGCTTGGGCAACACCAGTGGGAGCAAGATGAGCATCGGCCCAGGTTGAATTTTCATCTCCATCCAAGTGAGAGTAGTAACACTATGGAGGTCAGTAAGAATCGCATATTGAGGGTCAGATAGAACATACGTCCCATGCTTCTTTTCCAACCTCAGTCTCTTTTATATTATGATAACCTTCTCCATGACGCCCCACTTCAAACTGTCAGTTGCATATCATGTGATGACAGTAGTGATCTTGAATACATACAGTAAAGAACTTTATACTGAACATTCTTGGGAGTTTGATTGTTGAGTTTCACAACATGATTCTCAAATCTTTCCCATTGAGTCTTCTGCCTCTCCGGGTCAAATTCTGCATCCGTATCATACACACGATCTTTTAACCCAAAGTTCGACTCCTGAGTAGATAGTTATATTAGTCTAATATCCGACAACGTGATTGTAAATTCTCTTACAGTGTAATTGAAGGTCTCCGAATTTGTATTCTGATCATCTTGTAGAAAATATCCTACTACATTTCTGAACTCCATATGTCTAGTTTTTGGTTGTACTTTGTTATTCATCATGTATAATGGAGTCAGAAAAAGTGTAGCTAAAAATAAGCAAGGTCTAGAGTTTTGATTGTTAGCTGAGTTTAACAATTCTCCGTAAAATAAGATGCAGATTAACACAAGCAAAATATGGTAGTAAAAAAGAAGTACTTGGGTAGACAATCGAACATAAATAAAGAAACCCAAATCCAACTTACACAATCAAAGATGCTCTCCAAAAACCTGTTCGTCGATAAGCATATTGGTATGCATTAGCAATACTGCTTGCGCCCGACCTTTCATTCGACCGATGACCCAATAAAGACTCCTGGTCCTCCATATCTTACACCTTCACTAACGCCGGCTTCAAAATTCACAACCATCCAAAATCCCAATCCTAAAGTAAAAACGAACACCAAAATAACATGATATGGAATCTTCAGACCAAAGATAGTATCGGCGACAATAAGAAAAAAAGGGGCTCTTAATGCTTTGAGTGAAAATTGAGTTTTGAAGGGAAAAAAGTACGCAACCAAAGTCTAATGAGCATCACGTGTCCAAGGAATGAATAGAGGACTGGTTTCATATTGAATACAATTTGATTGGTCTAAGCTCGGTGTTTCAGAGTTGTCAGGAGGCGTTGGGATGAATGTTCTGGAACGGGGAAGGATCACTTCTAGGCGCGTTGGTATTTTGTACGCAACCACCACCAGTGCACCACGGCAGGAGATTATTGTTGATGCCTAAGGCTATCAGGCTATCAAAGCTATATTGACGCCGTTTTATGATCATCGAGCGGAAACTAATAAAGCGGCGGTAACTAGCCACAAAGTCAATGCCCAAACTCCCGAGGTCGTGATTTCAATTCCAATCGTGATCCAGAACGCCACAATGTTAAAGTTGGAGAATCAGGTCCGTGTATGATGTCACTCTAGGATAAATCTGGTTGTGAATGCAAAAGTTGTGGGGAAATTAGCTCAGAGCTTCTTTTTTGGAAAAGCAAGCAAGCAACGAGGCAATTTGAAGCAAAGCTTGCAAGTGGAGTGAAGAGTGGAACTCAATGAGGGAGAGCTCGGGGGGGAATCAGATCTAGAACAGCTAAGGTACATCGTACATTGTACAGAGAGGGAGAGAGGGACGGGAACAGGAACAGGAACAGGTATGAAGGATACGTAGTCTAGTGGTAGTGTCTGGGCCGGGACGACGAGTTTGTGGTTTCACGAGAGATTATTGGTGGCGTCGAAGATGTGAGTTATTTGTTTTGGGAAAGCAAGTACGCTCGATCAATTGAAAAGCATTTGGGTTACGAGATATATACTTGTATTGGATGTATACTTCTACTACCTAGGTAAGGTATAGATACTTCGATTGGATATATGCTTCTACTTGATCGATACTTTCATTGGATACATGCTTCTCTTGGATGCATACGAGCACTTTCGACTACTTTGTACTTTCCTGTCTAACAAATAAACCAAAGGTACACACATACCATGGTAGGTATCGATCGGTATACTCATTGAAAGTAACAAGTATACTGTCTCGACGGTGTACTTGGTACTCTACATGAGCTACTGGCATGTGTACTCTCTCGAGTCTTCACATCACATCCACAATCAATCTAGATTCTACATAGATGATTTGCAATTTATTAAAAAGCTCCACCTCGAAATCCCATGCCTTTGTTAACCCAGAAAAAGTGATTTCCCGATCATTCTCATATTTTCCACCTGTTTGCTACTCCACAATCATGCCAACCTCTCACAAACCCAGTCTTCACCTGCCTTGGAACTTTCCATGACGTGCCTTCCCAACTTTATCCGTAATGGCTTTAGCTTCCATTCACCCCGCTACATAAGTCTATTCTTTGTCCCTCCCTTCTCTCACATTTCTCCTCTACTCATCAATACAAACAAACAAAACAATCTCATCAACTCTCAATCATCAAGAACCTTTAATTAATCTTTTCAATCAATTACATCATGTCTCTTCACTGTACGTATTCATGCTCGGGAAGTCTTAATGGGAGATGGATGGGAGTGGAACTGGCGATGCTGGAGCATTGTGAGAGAGCTTTGGAATTGACATATTGAGCTTGGGATTGGTCCCATTTACACTTCCCAAGTTGAAATGTCAATGGAATGTCCTCAAAATGCATCCTCACAATGCATTATCTTGCCATCACCACCTTCTTCCATCTAGCTCCCGTTTTTCTTTCAATTCCCCTCTACCCCATCAATTAGCTGCCACTAACGTATGCTTCCAATAGACCTCCCACCAGTCAAGCCATCGGCTATTGCCCTCGGTACCATCTTCAACCACGCTGCATCCCTTGCTGTCCTCGGCCCAGTCTTCGGCGAAACCTACCACAGAGCTCAAGCTGCCAACTCCAAGGAGGAGTTTGTTAAGTCAAAGGAGGCTGCTTCCGCCGCTGCTGCATGGGGAACTTCCCTTGTCGGTAGCGCTGTCCAATCATATGGTGTTGGTGCTTTGATCAATGCTACCGGTACTCTCTCATACAAGGGTGCTGCATACTTGGGATCTTTGATCTTCATGGCTTCATCTGCTCCATCTGTACGTTATCCATTTAGAAACATTTACATCAAGAATAATCTGCTAACAATCTCCTCAGTTCATTGCACAAGTCACCACTGAGAAGCGACCACTCGACACTGTTGCCGTTGGAGCTCTCGCCCGCGTCTTCGAGACTGTCGGTCTCTCTCTCTTCCTCACCTGGTGGGGAACCCACACCAACCCATTCGAGTAAATGTATTACGCTTTAATATTGGGTATGATCGTTGGGAAGGATTAACGGAATGGGGTTATGGTATGGGAAGGAAATGACGTTCGGATTGGAGTATTCCGTTTCGTCTGTGTATTATCTCGACTCTGAATCAATTCACTTTTATGACTTTATGATTTAATCGTCATTAATTGCACAGCTTTATTAGGCAGAATATGAATTTCTTTCAAACAAGGGCTTTTTTTCTTTTCGGGTGAACTATGCGTGGTCTTTATATGCGTGTTATTTCCTTTTTGGAATCTGAAGTGTTTTCTGTGTTTCATTTCGAGACTCGGAATCTTCGACTTGGTATATTGGATTGAATATACTAATAAAATTGTCAAGGTAGATGGTATCAACAAGTCATCCCAGTGATGAACCTTACCACAATCTCCCCACTGTCACCGCGCAGCTCGCTCATAGGCTCACCACCTTGAGACTTTTCCAAATATATTCCCAAATTTCCTATCTTCTGTCACATACGACCATAGACTGAAGAGAATTGGGCCATCTCTATGTTCTATTGCTACTGTCGCTGTCCCGAATCCAAATTTCCAATTTTAGTAAAACGTCTTTTTGGTTTTTTTTGCTTCTAAAGTTCTTTGTTTTGAAGTATACAAAATTTGGTACGTTTTCGTACTGTTTTTAGTTTTCCTCGGAAAGTCTAACTGTATACCTAGAAGTATACCTAGAAGTATACCTAGAATATGGAAAATGCTAGGGCTCAAGGGTACAAACCCGTTCTAGATTAGAGTATTGGTGATGATGTACTTACTCTATTTACTAGAAACCGTTAGTACCTCTAGATGATATTTCTACAGAGTATCTTTGTCTACGATATACTGAGTTACTTTGTATACTGCCCAGGATACCTCGCTTGTATATAAGTATCAATCTGAGTTGATAGATCCAGAAGATATTTCAACCTCCAAGACCAAAGCAGCCTTTATTGTAATCGATCAGATTACTGTCACAACCAAGAATACTGTATAGGTAAGGGTATCTCGTGTATTGAAAATACTAAGCTAATAAGGAGAAACGTGGGGTAAGTGTAGTTTAATAGCGAGGTTGGATTGAGAAGATTACCCTTGCACCTATTATCGAAATCGAGGCCTAGCTCTCTCGGTCCGAAAACAGTTCTGACCCACCTGCAGCACTTAAAATCCCCAGCCACACTGACCAATTGTGTCGTACCAACAGTTGGTACCTGACTATCCATCGTAACACTATTCAATTTCTACGAAGTAAAAACCGTTGCTAGGAAGTCAGACTGTCACTGCTTACAACCCTTGTCGAACATTAACTGTTCTGAGAAAACAATCATGCATTTCAATCTTCACTTTGCAAAGCTAATACGAGTATACAGTATCGAGTTCTGAGAATTCAGAGATGAGCAATACTGGCGGTCAATTATTCGAAAGATGCGACAAACGGATTACTATGATATCCTGCCCTACATATCAATATCTGCTTCAGTTCAAGCGGTGCCTATCAACCCGAGAGTAAAACAGCACGCACCATTTGTGGAAGACTGCTTATCCCACTTTCATATCGCTTCCGCCGACTACAAGCGAATGCGACGAGAGGGGTGTGCGATTCGGGTTACATCGTCACAAAATCAATACTATGATCTCAAGCGAGATTACTTCTTATATCATATAATCTCTACGCTCGCATACTCTTTTTCCTTTTCAGTCTTCTTCAAAGTACACACACATTGCATCGCAACAGTCTTTCCGCCGTATCAATTTCGTTCAATATCTGCATTTTCATTCTCTACGCCTGTGATATTATACATCTTCATTCCTCAACATCTGTCATTCGTTTCAAGTTCACAATGGTCGCAACTGCTCGTACCGCGCTACTTAGTTCCCTCGTTAGCATTGTCGCTGCGCAATCGGTCAATCTCTTCATCCCAGAATATGGACAAGACGATGTTGTCGCTCAGATTGTCGGTGAGGTATGGATGGAGAATTTCTCCGAGCAGCATGTTTATCATACCCAAGCGGTTGTGCTGATGATCTTCATATAGAATGCCGAAGCAACGACATACCTCATTGCATGCGCTCCTGCAGTCTACACAACCGTAGCCTGTATCCACCGTAACGGACCTGGTCGTGATGGAGGACCTCCTAACTGCGACGGTCCTGCATCTTATAATGTTGTTGATTTGAACAGATGCTTTCTTACTGCAGGAGCAACTGTGGTTGAGGGACCATCCACCGTCGTTTTCATAAAACCTGGCGACGATAGCCAAACATGGAATTGTGCGGCTGATGGCACGGTATCTGCTGTCTGGTAGGAATCCAAGGACCCTAGGACAACGATGACAGCTAATTGACGTCTATTTAGCACACACAATTATAGAACGAATATATACACCGAGACGATGACGGGAGCTGACTATACGTTCATTCCAGTTCCTTTGACTACTGGTCTAGTCGTCAATGGTGTCGTACCGACCTCGATTATCCAACCTGCTCAAGCAAGCACGACAAGCATTGTATACAGTACATCTTCTAGCCCGAGCAGCCTCCCGTCATCTTCAACATCAATACACACGATAAGCAGCTTACCGACCATTACGCCAATTGCTACAATACGCACAAGTATAACCACCAGGACCACCTCAAGCATCGAACAGCAGAGCAATAGTAGTAGCGCAAGATCAAGCAGCTTTGGAGCCGGAAGTGTCAGCTCAATCAGTGGAAATAATACCGCGACCTCAACGACAGTCCCAGCCGCTACAGGCGTTTCCAACACAACTAGTCCTACCCCTATCGTTTCCCAAATAAGCAACGGCGCGTCGGCTTTTGGTTGGTGGAAAATGGGTTCTGCCGTTGTAGCGGTCTTGGCTGGTATAGCTATGCTTTGATCCGGTCGAGCTTGGTAACGCACAATAACGATATACTTGTCTTTTACGCCTTCGATGATGGTTTTAATGTTAATCAGGTCCTTCTATTGACACAGGGATCCAGATGTAATATTTGGTAACTGTGATCTCTAGCCTATATATATAATTCTATGTATATGTTATTTAAACTTTCTCTTAGAAATTGTAATGATTCGGCTGCAATGGCTGTATCGCACCTATACATCACATCGTACAGTTTCCCTGAGCGCATATTCGAACAGTCGAGATATGGAAAGCGTCATACGGATAAGCTTCGCGATAGGGAACAAGGCAACAAACAGAGTATTTGGGGCGAATGATGGTTGTCAAAGAACAGTCTTCTGAAACTCCTATTACGAGAATTCTATTTCCATATGTTTGGCCTCCAAAATACAAAATACAAAAATCCATGAATTAGTATTCAGTAATTGTGTTGTTGGTACTAATAAGGCCTTAGCCTAGAATTTCTATTATCCGTGTTCGGAAATAGTTTCATTGGAGTGTAGAGTAGAGTAATAAGAAATAGCTACATCGGAAATCGAACAAAGTATTTTCGGCTGGTGTTGCGCTTGAATATAGAGAAGTAGATTATAGATATATTTAAAGGATCTGCTGATACATACGACCATAGACTGAAGAGAATTGGGCATCCCGTCCGCTCTGCCATACACAAGCTTCAGATCGGTGGATTGGTAGTTGGGTGGGTGACCACCAGCGAATCCCCACTGTTGTATGTTTTTGTAGTTTTGTTTTTGGTGTTTGCCTCTCTTGCTCGTTGGGTTTTTGTGTTGCGAGGGCACTCTGGTTGGTGGGTGTATTCAGGTAGGTAGGTGTTTATTTTTGGAGATTTGGATTGCGGGGGCGGAATGGGGTGCGGAAGGGGAGGGAGTTGATTTATTAGAGTAGAGTGGAGAGGAGGGAAGAGAGGAGGGAAGAGAGGAGGTGGTGATTTTTCGATGGTGATTAGCTACCTAGGTAGGTAATGAGTGCTAGGGAAGACTGTTTTTTGCGGGTGACTTTTGGTTGTTTGTTATTCTCGATGCGTGTTGTTTCCTTGTTTTTTTTTTAAAAAAAAAGGGAAAAGAAAAGAAAAATAAAGATACATGAATGTACTAGTAAGGTGGTGTGTTTTATGTTGGTGGTATAAGGCAGAGAAGAATATTTCTGGGGAGAAAGGGGGTGGGAAGGAAATAACAGAGAATGCGGTCCCGGAACTACAAATACGAGTATGTATACGTAAACACGAATGTTTATGTTTATGTTGATGCTTACGTTTGGCGGTGGAGATGAAGATTGAGATGAAGATTGAGATGAAGATTGAGATGAAGATTGAGATTCAAAGTCAGGAGGATCTGGGTCTCGGAGAAAAAATCGATCGAGTGGTAGATTTCTGATGAGTAGGTAGTGATAAATCACAAGGCAGTGCTTGCATTCTTGGGAACAACTGGCTACCTACTACTTATTACAGCTATTGCTAAACTCATGATTTACGTCGTTTTGTGGTGGAGAAATGAGGGGTTCGCTAGGATTTATTATATGTGCTTTTATGTTATGCTTGGGTTTGCTACCTAGTTAGTTGGTTGGGAGTTGGGAAGGATATGCATGTTGGGAAGGGTATGTTGGGTATGTATATGGAGATGCTGGGTTTTTGTGGAAGTTTGTTTCTGTTTAGCTTGGTTGATGCGTAGGAGGGTGTGATTTGTATTTATTTGTGTATGGTTTAATTGGATTGAGATGGGTTGGTTGATGAAGGCGAGGTGAGGTGAGGTGGGATGTGCTGATTTGGTTCTTGATATTTGTTTGTAGGGGAAGTCATAAGGTATGAATTTTTCTGCGATTGTATTCTATATAGCTAATGCTCCAGAAATACAATCTTGCATATAAATGAAGCACATCATGTTCTACAAGACAACAAAAGATGGTCACTCACGTCTTATGTCCTATTCTCTGCTCGCTTACCTCTGGAAACCCGACTCTACTCTCTAGCTATTGAGATTGTGGCGGTAAGTGGAAGCTATGTAGAAAGCTACATGCGCGGCCACTCGTTTGAATATCGACTTGTTCTCACAATATCATTGTGAAAAACGACTATGATGACAATTTCAAGACTCGGTAATTGACGAGTATATTATTCCACGATTGTGTAGAATCGTTGTTGAATTGCAACTTTGCAATGTGATGGCGAAACTGTAGGTGTGTAGTGTGAAAAGCAAGTCGGTAGAGCTATTAAAATACCTAGTAATATCATTATATGTTGATAGAAATCAGTAGGTGTAAAGATTGGATTGTGAAATCTCAAAGACGAATACATCATGGTGCTATTTTGGCTAAACAAATCATCATTGATAAACAATACCTCGGCATCGACTTTGATTTCTAATTACTACAATAGTATTTCCTAGTGTTTCTCGAAGCAATAATCTGTCAGAAGCTGGTGTCGTGGACCTATTCGATGCTACATACGTCCCTGACTATAGCCACTTGTTCCGCAAAGTGAAGATTGATTGACAATATGTTGGTTGACTGGAAGAAGTTTTGCATACCGCTGATATTGTATTTATGGCTCTCTTTCCCCTCTAACGAGTGTCTAAATCTTGCCGTGACGAAGTATACATAGGGTAGCATACTTTCTAATCACCTACATGTTGCCGAAATACTAAATTCGCTAGAAATATTTGATCCTAGAAACATGGGATTGAATTTGTGGAGTTGAGATTTGTCTTCTCATTTATGATAGAGAAATAACTTCTACTTATACTGTGATTGAGCTGATAGCTCTCAACAAACATGACAGGTCAATACTCAATCATCAAAGCAAAATTCTAGAAGTATGGTATCGTCGTCGAATTTTGCACTTGCAAAAGAAATGATGTGATGAAAAAGGTCTAAAATCAACTTCCATATCTTTTCATGATATCCTTTATCCCTGTGCAATATGCTTCGAATGCTGGAGCCCTACAATCAAACATTTCCTAGAAAGAAGAATAGATGTATCGTAAATTGCATAGGCATATCAATCTTCTGTCTCCTTTCTTACTTTGCGCTTGCTAAGTAGGAGCTGCACTTGGATTGAGAGGTATTACAAGATGCCTACACGACATATCCTTAAGATCGTGGTAAGCAGTACTTTGATATATAACCCGATACATATTCTGATATATAAATACCAGTTATGATATATTATCAGTGCAAAAATAGTGAACGTTTGTGTTGCAAGTGAAATAGATGTGATAAATGTATAATCCCAAGGTTACCTAAGCTCGGACCATTCATTTTTCCGGCTCAAGATACGTTTAACCTTACATCACCAACCAGACCCTCAAGTAGCTCCCAACTCCAAAAAAGACACCCTCCCCCAAAACACCTAGAAAATGCGTCCCTCAATCTTCGGCGTCTTTTCGCTGCTCTCACTTCTCCCCTCCTCTCTCGCAACTCAACTCATCTTCACAATCCCAACGACTCCTCAACTAAACCCATCAACTCTCCCCCCCTCCACCCACGCAATCCTCAGTACCCTTTCTCACACGCACACCGCGCCTCTCACTCCATCCAATTCCTTCTCTTTCCGCAACCTTACCAGCGGCTCCTACCTCCTCACCGTTTCCTCTTCCACCCACGCTTTCATTCCTCTCCGCGTCGATATTCATCCTGCATCCTCCGAGTCAAATCTCATTCCCATCGAAGCATTCACCACTTTCCGCGCCAACGAATGGAGCAACAAGGGAGAGATAATCCCGGTTTCTAAACTTGGAGATGATAAATACACAGCGGAAGTTAAGCCACTAGTCGAGAAAAACTATTATCTTGAGCGAGTGGGGTTCTCGCCATTGAGTTTATTGAAGAATCCTATGATCTTGATTGCTGGATTCAGCATGCTTATTGTGTTTGGAATGCCTTATCTTATGGATAATAGTATGTGTATTCTTCTTGAGTTTCTGGGGGTCAGATTTGAGGCTTCACAATCATGCCATGTAATATATTCTTTGTTTTCTATGCTAACAGGACATCTTTCACAGTGGATCCAGAACTCAAGGCAGAATTTGAGGAGCGCCAGAAGAGTGGTGGTGGAATTACAGGCGGTGCCAATGGCGCCAATCCATTGCAAAATTTTGATGCGGCAGCTTGGTTGGCTGGGTCTGGTGGAAAGAAGGAGGGAGGCGCTGCAAGTGGTGGAAGAGAGATTATCAGATGAGAGTGGTGTCTTCATCCGTGGAGATTTGTTGATACTCTAGCTGATTGATGAGAGATGATCAATTTATTGGAATATGATAATACCCGGGAACCATGGGTCGAGCCACGATACGAAAATTAGATACAGAAAAGATAGATCTGTTAAGACAACAGAAGAATGATATAGGGACATCTATATCAATTTCAGGTTCATGCTTCGAGAAGCCACCAGGAGCGAGAAATCGACCAACCACTTGAGATTCCATAGTGCTTTGGCTCAGGAAGTTACTTACAATTGCTGATTTATTATGCCAAGCGGCTGTCGTCAGTAGGTCTACTATTGTATCAATACAGTATTTAGTGAATTCTGGATAAACAACTATCATTGAATATTTTACAATGCAGATCGCATTTTGGGTGGACAATGATAGAGCAGACCGGATAGCACTAGTATCAAGCATCCAAATCTAAAGGGTAGTATGAGTGATTTTGCAGTTTTCTATCCATCTTACTATTCATGCCAGCGGGCGTTCAAACAAAGCTCATACTGAGGCTACTTGAGGAGTAAGCATTTTATACCCGGGCATTAATTGAACTGTGAGCCTAAGTGAATACCTCCTCTTCCGCTCTCCTATCTCCTACTCATGACTACGAGAATCAGGCTCGCTAAAAATCAAAATCGTGGGGGAACTATCTCTCCCCCTTAAAAAATATAATGTATAGTGTTCAAGATATACAAACCAGAAGACCGGGTTATCAAATATCAGAGTTTTCAGATGTAGAGTCGCGGTTGTGTTTGTGAGGATTTGGAAACTTAGTGTACTACTACTGAGCTGGGTACTATCCATCAGATGGTTGGAGTATACTATTTGGAAGTCATGAGCGGAAGCTGTTCCTGCAAAATCTTGGGATACAATATGAAATTGTTTCATCATTTTCTATTTACCTGACCATCCCATTGAATTTCTCTCCCAAAATGAGATGAGAGATCATCCTCTCGGCATTTTAAACACCACCCGGGACTTGGAACTTCAATACCTTAATCAATGATCATACAACAATCTAGAAGCACATTCGGCAATGATGAAATACCCCAAGATTTCCGCTTCCTGTAGGATCTTCATAGGATCTGACCCGATGGTTTGGTAAACTGATTACTAGGCCGGCGGCTACCAGATCTATCTGTATCTCCATAACTTTGCATATGTATTTTCATGGCATATGTATTTCCATGGATTATTTTCATACTAATTTCTCTGCTTTGGTATTACACGTAACCCTTTGCAATGTAAAACTTAGGACTCAATTCCATGTCTTCGACTTACAGTACCTCAAAATTCAGAAACTCATCTTTTAACACTACCATGAGTACCTTGCCGCAGCGGTCGATTTCCCACGACCGCGCTTATTCTATGACCTCAACATGTTTTAGTTCTCTGAAACGAACAAAAGTCCATGGACCTCGACCGCTCAGCCTTCATGGAGCGCTAACACATAGCCGGGTATGGGGTTCCTGGGTTTCGGGTGCGTGTCCCTGGGATTGGATAAAGGTACTTGGAGAAGTTGGTTATGGGGTTTGTTAGCGGCGATGAGAAGAGATTGGGTTTAGAGACCGGACCCTGCAGATGCTGTAAGACGGGTGGTCTGTAAGATGGGTGGTGGTATCGTGTTTGGCCAACTAACTTGTTCGTGATCCTTTGGATATTGGCTCGTGTATATAGATGAGGGGTATCGCTTGATTCTTCTGGATTCATTTCTTCTTCTTCTTCTTCTTCTTGGAAAATAGACGTCTGTTCACTCTTTAACTATCTAGTCACTCTTTTCGAATCTGAAAATTAGTCTTTCTTTTATCTCAGGCTTCCCAAACCCTCCCTTCCATTTCATTCTCCTCAAAAACCACCAAAATGTGCTGCTGTTTCGGATCCCGCGGGGAACACGTCGAGCCCGTCAAGAAAATCCCACAGCACGAATTCGACGAGAAGAAAAAAGCGTACGAATCTAATGGTCATCGATCATCCCTCCCTCGTCGTCGGCATTCAAATAAATACGTAGAGAGGGATAGTTCGAGAGACAGCAGCAATTCCCCGCGAAACGGATCTCGAGGGTCGCAGAATGGATATGGTAGTAGCAGTGGTAGTGGTAGTAGTAGGGATTTGAGAGGTTACAACAGTAATGTGGATTCTCACAGGTATAGTAATGGCGGATATGGGCAGGAAGGATATATTCAGGGAGGCCATAGTCAGGGAGTACGCTCGCCCCCATCATTGGGGACTAGCGTGCTACGGGGCTCTGCATCGCGGTATTAATCTGATTACCGGCGATGAATACAACATATTTGAGTACTAGAGGATTCTCCATTATCTTTCCGAGAGGAGAGAGAAGGTCAAGAAGATATGTTCAGAGAAGAAGATGCGATGCTGGACATCGATCCTATCTGCGAAACTTCCATTCATATCTTCGAGACTCTCTCAGGGACAAGTCACCACACCATCCACCCGTTATCTGTAAAGTATGGACAGATCTGCAACAGCATCACCCACAAGCTGCAACTCAGAAAGATATCTGGTGTATCAAGAACTAGAGAGGGAAACCCGCTTTGAGTGATATCCGCAGCACAGATTACTCGGAGAATATGTAGATTAATTCTGTTTCTTGCAATTTGTTTTTATGGGAGTTTGGCATAGACGATTGGGAATTTTGATGTACCGGTTAGAAGATAGATAATACCAAGCAGGAAGGGCACGAGGAAATGAATATTATAATCAATATCTTCTCGTTAAATCAACCTTGTGAGCTTTTTTCCTCGTGATGATGTAATTGCACCGAAGTCCTCGGACCAGCTTTTCAGAATTCAGGACGAAAGTTGGCAAGATTCAAGACGCCGATGAAACCTTCTTTAACTTTACGAGGGCGTGTTTTTGATGAATGCCGGGCAAAATAACCGAACTCACTAATATTTACTATGTGATTTTTATAATGAATATAACTTTATAAATATTAATAACTCTACTTTACCAAATTTACATATAAATCTTGATATAAAAAATTATTTAAATTTGAAAAGATTTTTCAAATATTATTTTTATTTTAATTGTTATTGAATTTTAAAATAGATGAGTTTGTGCTTATTTTGGTGAGGAAATGTCCCTGCGCACGGACCCGGCATTCATCAAAAACACGCCCTCGTAAAGAAAAGATAGTCGCTGAAAGGAAGGCATTCAAAAAAACACACGAGATCTCACAACCTATTTACCCTGAATCCTCGAACAACAGCTTTTTATATAATATATAATTTTTTGACTAGCCCACCTTTCCGTTACTAGTACTACTTCTAAGTCTACCCGAACCCTTCTTTCTTCCTCCATCTAAACCATACAATCCGCCTGCAAAAAATACCAAAAACGCACCCACCAAGGTCCCAGGACTAAGTCTATTTCCAAACAACCAAATACTCAATAACAAACTAGCTAATTTCCTCACGTTCAACACAATCGTGACCGTAAGTGCAGAAGATGCAGCGGCAAGCAAGTTAACTCCGCGTATGCATGCATATTGTGTGAGCACATTCATAGCGAGAAAGACGAGTTGGCTTGGTAGATAAATTTGTGAGAATTTGGAGACGAGGTCCGAGGGGAGCGTTTGGACATCGAGGAAGGGAAGGCTGAGCGGTGCGGAGGAGGCAAGCCTGAGGAATTGGCGATACATGGAGGGGAAGAAAGGAGCGAAAAGAGGCAGTGCGAGAATATGCGAGTAGAAGAGGTTCTCTTTCCAGTGGGGCCCGTATTCTTTGTAGGTTTCTTCCGTGTAAAGACCCATTATTGCGGAGAGCACTTGGGCAATAAAGAGGATGACAAGTCCTGTGTTGAAAGAGGGTATGTCTGCGTCTACTTTTCCGTCCTGCAAGGGGATTGTTAGTGATATTCGGAGGTATAAGAAGCGCGATAATACCTTAGACTGCGCATCGAACATAGCTGCTGTAACTACTCCAATTGTCAAAAGAATGACGGCGATAATTTGTATCCTAGAGAATCGCTTCCCCCATAGATATCCCGCAGCCAAGGTTGTAATACTACCTCCAGATCGTAAAATGATGTGCATAGGCACTGATATATTATAGCCGAATGCATGATTGTTCATGACATTGATTGTAAAGAATAAAACAATATTTATAATCCATCGACGTATAGGGACACGATTTGGTGTAAGGAAGAGCGGGGGTCGACTTCGATCGAATTGGGAGATGTAGCTGGTCACAGCTACAAAGATGAATTGAACAAATGTCATAAGAGTTCCTTCAGAAAATTAGAATGGCATTCGATGAGGTGGTGCATGGAGGGGATGTACCGCTATCTTTCTCGACTCTGTTTTAATCAATGTCAGCGGGGTACTCGAAACAACATAACGTCAAAAGCAAGGGAGTCAAAACTTACTTGACAATGGCTTCCAAAGCGAAAACCTAAGTATGCAATGAGCTCCTCATCCTCTCTCATCCTCTAAACGTGTAGGAGCACTCACATTTGAGCAACAACCTCCAAAAATCAACCCAAGCATAGCACCCACAGCCAACCATTGCGGAATTGTTTCAATAAACATGCGCCCCGCCATTGCAAGCAATTTTGAGGACGTAGATCTTTTATCATTGATTCCATACATTTCCGCCTTTTCCAATGATGGTGCAGCATTAATAACCTTTGGGGCTACGACATCTCCATCGGCATTCGAAGCTTGTAAATCTCGAAGGGTGGAACGACGCCGTTGGGCTGGCATAGATGCTTGCTGCTGGCTGCTAGCAGAATCAGCTCTGCGTCTTCGAGCCATTCATAAATACGCCTTTCTGACTAACTGAATGCGATCAGGGGGAGGCGTTTCCGTGTTGGAATCTAAGAATGGAGGATTTTTTCAATGTGATGTTCCAGAATTTTGGGTACCAATGTGACTGAAAGCGGTACGATATGGGATATGATACAAAATTGGATAGTGGCTCAGCAACAATGCAGTTGGTATCAAAAAGAAGAAAACAATTTAAAGAAGATGTTGGAATCTGACACGTAGAATAGAGGCACACTACTGTATTTTTATTTGCTTTTGATAATCCCCCAATTGCAGGTGCGCTCTGCAAGGATAATAAGTAGGTAGGTACTCCGTCGATTCTAGCTTTCAGGGTTTTTCTCTCTATGTGCTGTCTAGGTAGGTAATTGGATAATTTGTGGAGGTAAGAGCTCAAGACATTTAACGTTATCCATATGCTAGTGAGTAAACAACATTATAATATCCGTATTATAGTCTCTAGACAAATACAGCTGAAGGAAGGAGTAAAGGACAACGTGGAAGTAGCTACCCTGAGTACTTTTAGCTGAGGTAGTAGCAATTTAGCATGGTTGTTCTGGAATCTAGAGCAAAGATACCCCATAAATAGTATCACGGTCCCTGTAAGTCCCCTGAAATTGGCGTCTAATTTTCAGCGATTGCCGAATAACCCCGGTAGTAGCTTAATATAAGGTTGTTTAGAGCTCTTCAAGGTTAAGTATTGTTGAAGAATAATTGTAAAGTATCTTCGTGTGCAAATCGTAGGTGGTTAGATATAAGTCCCTCGAGAGTCGAGATTCGGATTCCACTGACATTTAACTAGCTGCAGCGGGAAATGGATGGAAGTCCATTCACAGTATATATACCTCTCTAGCTGTATGCTAGGGATAAATGGAAATGCCAATTCTCTTCTTCTTACAGATTAAAAGATCTTTGACGAGAGTAACGTTTCATCTATGAAGCTATTCCCGATGCTTAGGCCCTAGTGAGCTAACAAACTTTACATTATAATTCTGATACCTCGGGAGTTCTTCCTGATCAGGAGCAACTGCGGCTAGTGCTACAACCTACGAATGTCACCATCTTCCACGAGCAGTCCCCAACACTCCCTCAAATCTCGGAGTACTTCTTTCATCTATCAAGAATTCAATGAACAAATGACTTGGCCCCAATGATTCCGGGAAAGTCTTCCCTTTCAAAGCTTCAGTCCATATATTCAAGTGATATTCAAAAACGCTCAAATATGATTATCAGCACCTCAAAATATCTGCAATATTTTCATACTCAAATCTACCAAAAGAATCCGTACAAAACAACAAACTTTCATACAATACTTTTCCCAAAAAAAAAAGACAACAAAGACAACCTGAAAGAACCCCCCTAAAATCTAACCGAAAATCATCTCAATTGAAACCCCTCTCCAAGAACATACCCATCCAAGTACAAAAATCACACCACAAACCCAGCATAACCATCACCCAAAAGCCTCCATCAAAGCCGTCCCTTCCCATCAACAATGCTATAATCCTTCCACATCTTAACCCCCACATCACCCACACCATCTCCCTTAATTCTCGAAGCGATGATTTGTTTCCGTGCTAGCCATTCTTCTCTCGATTCAGTGCTCCCTCTGCGCAGTAAATATGTACCATCATCATCCTCTTCGATATCATCATCTGCATTTTTCAAAAGCGAACCGTGCTCTTCGATAGAAGATGTTCGTCGATTGTGGGTATGCAAGTGGGAAAAAGGATTGGAATGAATGTGAAAGTGCTTGTGCGATTTAGTTGAGGAATTGGAGGAGGAAGGTTGGGAAGTGGATGTGGAAGTGGATGCTGGAGAGGAGACGGAGTGATGCGATGATGAATTACCCATTGTATGTATTTTCTTCGCGTGAATAACAGCTCTGTAAACTAGACAACCAAATTCAAGAAAGCAGATAGATAGTATCCAAAACCCAGACAAAAATACCAACCAAAATACAGAAAACCAAGCATGCGCAACCTCTCCATCCCATCCCCAATATATCACTCCCAAAACCTGTACACCCCCATCAAACCCCAACATCCCCACCCCCCACCAGCCATCCCAAACCCACAAACAACATCAAGCTCCTCCTCGCAAAGCCCTCGTCCGGGTCTTCAGCCCTACAGCCCTCTTTCCACAACCACCATCACGCCAATAACCCATCTCTGATCACCCATAACTTCTAAATTGTAGGACTACAAGCGACCGTGGTTATATGAAGTTGGTCCGTAGGCGCGCGACTACCTGGTTGCACAAACGTCCCGAGCGTGGTAGGAAGAGAGACCCGGCCGGTGGGGGGATCGGTCCAACATCTTTTTTCGATCGATAAGTACCCTTTATATCATAGAGGCGGTGCAGGTATTTTGGGAAGATTGGCAGCCGATGATATCATGTGAGTGTTCATCTGCATAGAATCAAGCGAACTCGGTAGCTGAAGTGAAAGATTTACTTCTTGTGTTCTACGTCGTGTTTTCACACCATATACTTCTCCTCTCTTATTTGTGATCGATTTTCCAGATGTAAATCTTCTTACCTTGTATTTCTTCTTTCTTTTTCTCTGGTATTTACTAATAACAATGATAATATTCCTCCTCTCCTCATTCCTAAAACTGAGACTGAACGCTGAAGAAGACGATAACGAATTTGAAGAATGTCTTCTTGGGCATATCATCAATCAAACAATCTTTCCGCAAAAGCAAAAAAGAACTGGTAAATTCTAGTTTTGAAACATGTACAATATGCTCGGATTATGAACCTATACTCAACATGTACGCATTTATAGGTTATCCGATATGCTAGAAAGAGCCGTGGGTATAATGTTCCTTTTAAGCGATGAGGTCGCTACTCATTGATCTATTACACAGCGACGTCGCCAACTATCTCGAGACTTCCTTGCCTTCTGCTCCTGAGAAAGCCATAGAGTGTCTACTACACCATGTTGCGCGTCATGGAGACCTAACACCGAGAGGGCTCAAAAGTCTACATGATGAAGTCGGCCGAGATCTGATCATCATATCGTTTCGTAGAGGTTCCCAGCCATAACGATGTCTAATGAACCCATCCAACGCCCGTGTACTCCCGAAGCATCGCTCTAATTCAGATACCAAGTTTATAGCCGTACTTATTACTCGGATCCTCCCGCAGTCATCGTTAACATCGCTGCTCCCAAAAGAACCCACCAATACCTAAAGTTCACAATATTAGCACATCCATCTATCCAATTGACCTCATCGCAAAACCCAACAACAAAGGACTTACTTTTGCAAGAAAGTCTTCTCCGGCACCTCCTTCTCCAGCTTTCCCTCCTTACTCAAAACAACCTTAGGACCTAAGACAGGTTCCTTCCCCTCGACCATCCGTCTAATCTCGACTTTCGGCGCAAAGTCCCTCGTAGCACCCGCATCTATAACACCACTCTTAATCGTAACCCCCAGCACCGCACCCTGCGAGTCCAACGTCAAAAGAATAGTCGGTCTGTAACCCTTTTCGAAATTCGACAAGGAGAGAAGAGAAGTGGAGCTCTTGAAGACAGAGGTGGCAGGATCGAATATGCCTATGCGAGCGAGATTTTCATTGGGGTTACGGGAGTCCGATTCTGGAGAGGAAGATATCTCGGGAAGGAGGTCGGTAGGAGGATCGTAGGATGAGAGGGAGGCGGAGAGAGTAGAAGGGTTGTAGGATATACTTGCTAGTGGGTATGCGGAGGCGGAGAGGAGGGGTTGGATGTAAATTGTTGCTGTGTCTGTTTGGTCTGTGATTGCAGCGGTCGAGGGAAGGAAGTGTGCGCAGAGCGCGAGGAGGAGAGTGGCGGGTTTCATGATTGTGCTTGGGTTATCGGGTTTGTTGGAGCGAAGCTGGAGATTTGAGGTGAGAGCTTCGTGGAGCTATTGTCCGGGGAAGGCTGTGATTACGTAAGATGATAAGCGCGAATGTTCGAGATTCCATACTGTGGATCAATTTCAACGTTTGATGTATGGATTGTACGACACAATGTACGTACAACGTTGAGAATTCATTCAGTTACGACCTCGATTCAAGAAATTTGATATTTGTCCTATAATGTTCCCAGACCATTTCCTGTTTCTTCTCTACCCATTCGAGATAACATGACTGCTTGCCTGCAAAAGCAACAGCTTTTCATAAGATTTGGCAAAAAATGCCATTTGCATTTCAACTTGAGTATATACATGATTCCCTCAAAAACAGACAAACCCGAGGCACCCCTTGATCTATTTATCAATGCCGTGTAAAATACTCCTACCCAACGCCATAAAACCAAAGAATCAAGGCGAAAGAGAAAGGGGTATTATGAGACGCAATCAGGGCCCTTCTGGCCGTGAAGACTCTTCATGTCCAGACTCTGTCTTATGATGTGGAGCATCTGACTCCTTCGTGTTACTCATATCTGCGTCAACTCTAACCTCGGCTTGCTCGGGGGTATCAGGCTCGTCGCTCTCTTCATCGTCATCTTCTAATTCATCAGAGTCATCCGTCATATCTCCTTCCATTTTGTAACGCTCGTTTCGCTCAATTAACCCTTTGTAATAATCGGTCAACATTTCTGGCTTTGGGATTATTTTCCAATCAACACGGTGTAAAAATTCAAGCTCCAGTAATCCTAATTCTGCCAATTTGACACCACCGACTCTCGCATACGTAGAATTGTTCCAGAAAATGTCCGAGAGTCCTTTTGAGGCTACCGTCGCTGCTGTGATCAAAAATCGATGAACAGTCAATGTTGTAATTGTAAATGCAGGGTATGATGCGCAAAGTTGATCAATGTAATAAACCATAGAAAGTAAAAGAGGAGGTTTGAGGGTTGCATGCTTTGCAAGCCGCGCCAGATAATCAAGAACAGAAATCCCAGGAGGTGACCTAGAACTCATTAGTAAAGAGGTATCCTGGTACAATATGGATATACACACCTAGAATGAAAGCGTGTCAACACCCCGCCTTGGGGAGGAAGAGCATCATTTCTTTGAATC